ATAATTTCCTTTGGAGGGGAGATGAAATAAGGGCAAACATTAACTTACCAACTAAAGCAAGAATCCGGCAATTACTCCCCACATAAATATTTCTAGCAGTGTATATGACACATAAAGTATCTGATATACTTATCACTGTTCAACGTACTACAGCGTAAAAATCAAGGTACGAAGTATGAGGAAGCATGAGGAAGCAACTTCCTTTCCCACGCTTTTGAGCCACCAAAAGTGAACTTCTAAATATAGAATGAACGCGATGACCGTTCGTTGCACTGATCCCGCTTTCCTGTCCAGTTCCACCTTCCAGTAGATCGTTATTCGCCTGTTGGCAAAAATTTCTTAGCAATAAAGAGAGGGGAATGAGTCATAGGCAGAGGATAAACCGGATGTTTCTCATTTTTCACGGATAAAAAAGGAATATATTGAATGACAAAACGCGTAGCTCAAGCGTTGCGCTTAGTCCGTGTGCACGCTCCTTGTTGCTTTTGGACAATAAGTCAGGAGCGCCCAGATTAAGAGAAGGCATCAAGGGACTTCCACGCCATTCACAAGCAATTGCTGACATACTCTTCAATGCGAAACCGATAAAATCTATGGATAAAGCCAAAACAAATAGTTGCCGTACGAGTCCTCGGCGTCATAACCCTAGATCATTCGAGAATTCAAAAGAGAGAAGTAAAATCGTATTGTTCAAGGTCCGGATCTTACCACAATATCTCCTGACCAGAAGCATGGCTTGCACTCGACAATTCGGCTACGAAAGAACAAGAGTCATGCAAACTGCAGATAATCCAATCCATCAATCCGTATCCCCCCCTCCCCTTCCTTTCCATTCTTCTCCAAAGGATCAGGGTAAAGTACGAGGCAGTCCCAGAGAAGAAGAAAAGAAAAATATAACCAGACTATGCATGTCAAAAAATTGCACTGCAGTTCCTTCAATACTCACTGATCGTGGCCTCGGGAATAACCGCCCTTGAAATTTAGGCGATGATTAGGCCTAGAAGACAATGGATAACGAAGATGGTTAGATTTGTACTGATGTGTCTTGATGACGCCCAGACCCTATCGTGAAAGCATATAAAGAGCGTGGCTGTCAAAGTCAACCAACTCAGCACACACACCCCACTCCCCGCACATCCCCACTTCCCACACACAATAACAATTCCTCGGAACAACTTCCCCCGTCAGCGTGTCACATATACAATAGAACACAATGGTTCTCACTCGCGCGATGCAAAGACGACGTGCAAACACTAGCGTCGAAGTAACCAGCAACGACACAACATCATTGACACACACAAGACATTCGCGCGATTCACATTCTGGAATCAATGTCGAGACAATCGGCAGAGAGGGCATCGCCGGCTTTGACGATGGGGCCGAAGGCTCCGTCAACGTCCATGCTAATGCCTCCAGCACCAGCACATCTAGTCACGGTGCCCTTCAACCGAACACAATCAAAGAGGACCAGCCCTCCTCCACAGGATCGACGTCCTCCATTCCGAAGACAGCGCAAGCTGCGCATGTCGTCGAAAAGAAACGTAAACGAAATGGTAAGTCTCCCTCTTCATTCCAGTTCAAAGTTCCTCATTAAAATATCTATTCCAGCCAAGGTCCTTGATAGCCAGCCACAGGCATCGGGATCTTCCACCGAAAGTCCGCAAAATTCTCGTGAAGGTAAGTTAGACCTCCATACGTAAGTGCAGCATTGAGCTGACATAAGGCCCAGAACTTCCGGGAGTCTCCTCCCTGCCCCCTCCCAAGCCGAAGGCTCGTAAAAAGCGTGGCCATGGGTGGACCCGCAGAAAAATTAGAAGGGCGACTACTCAAGGTTGTGCTATCCGGGTAGGCGGCAAACGCCCAGTCGAGGGCGTCGATGGCGAAGAAGACGAGGCAAGGCCAACGAAGAGGCGGCGTATTAGTGAGGAGGCCGTTGCGGGGCCATCCAACGCACGTTCAATGTCGTTGGACAACACGATTGGTGCGACCAACATCCGTCAGCTGCGATCGCGCAGCATCGTCTCTCCCGCAGATCCCGCAAACGAGGGAAGCGACGAGGGAAACAGGACGACGAGGTCGTCATCTCCAGATCGTGCATCAGAACGACCGACTTTAGAAGATACACTAGAAAATGAGGTAGACTTCACTCTCATAAAAACAGAGGATGAAGAGGAGGATCACCTCTGGGATACTCCTCCGCCTCGGGATTGGAGTCTGCTGATGCCAGAATACGAACTGGTAACCGAGGACACGTCCCGATTTGACAGTAACCGGAGTACGCCGGAGCTGACGACTGGACGTGACGGGTCCCATAGGCATAGAAGCGAATCGGCCGGCTCAACGCCCGTAGGAACGCCGCGGGCCCAATCAGCGGACGTCCAATCGTTTGATAGATCCCTTGTGATCGTTCTTCCGGGAACGATGGAGGAAGCGGAGCCACCGGACGAATTGATGGACGTTCTGGATGAGGGTGAGGACGAGGACAAGGACGAGGGTGAGGACGATGTTTCGGTTTCTTCCATCCCTGTTGACAGAAGAAGGTCAAGGGCTCCCAGCCCTCCATCCCTCCCTCCGTCACACTCTGTCTCAAGACTTTCAACTCCCTAGCGTGGTGAGGAGACAGAAAGTGCTAGATAGTTCATATGGATGTCACCAAAAGAAGCGGTTCCATACAGTCTTGAGCGTCACGACCATATCCGACCAAGCATAGAGGTCTCGTATTTTTATCGTTCATCTCGACAGCCGTCCAGAGGAAAATGCGTACGATCAAGAGATCATTCCACACCTCGATTACGGTAACGAACCACAAAGTGGGCCATCTCGTCCTCCTGGCTTCTTGTGTCTGTCTTCTTTTTAGTCCGGGGTGTCGGTAATGTGTCCACGGACTTCGGAATCGACCATCGTCAGCAGAGCGTCTGCTCCTGCTAGATAATGCCTCTCCAACGCTATCCGCCGTTTGTCCGAGTCTTCCGAAGAGTATATCAGCAACTCGACAGCGTCCTCCGATGCAACAGCGAGTTGAACGATATTGTCGGGAGTCCATACAACAACGTCGGTGATAGCCCTTCATTAATTTCGGCACGTTTGTCCCTGCTTTCCGCTGTCCCGCTTCCGCGACCGCACCCTAGCTCCTTCCTCGTCCTTCCGCGAGTGCTTGCTCTCGGCCCGCTCTGTACTTGAACTTGTATCTGTATTTGTATCTCTTGTTTCCTCTTTACTTTCTCTCTGTTTCGCACTTCCTGTACGGCTAAAGGCCCCGTTCTCCCTGTAATAATATAAAAGCGATGCCCAATTCGGTGTCGGCTTTTGGCTTGCTGATCTTTCGAGATCAGTCAAGCCTCCTCATAATCCGAGTACCCTTCAGAAACGAAGATCAAGAAGATTATGTGCGAGACAACAGTAGTAGAGAGTCTCAGCCATCGTAAATTTCTCCAAGTTAGAAGATCCGTACACTTCCGCGGAAGGTGAGATTGGTCAAAAACACCTGGTGTGCACATCTTATATTCATATTTAATAAACACACCACCGGGATAGGGAATGAAACGTCACTCACAAATGGACTCGCTCTGTTTCTATGCTTCAAGGGGACTCTTCACTACCGAGACAGGCTGTAGTCACGATGACTGCAAAAATTATTGGAAACTCATAAGCATTCGGACTGATAAAATGAATTCAGTACGATAATATGCTAATCCTATTGCTGACGTCGCTCACCGACAAGGCGATGTCACGCAATCACTGAAGCCTACCACATGGTGACTCATGGAACCGAGTTTAAGATCCGACGGGATGGAAGGTCCTGCACAACAGTTCAGCAAGTTACCAGGTTTGCAGACTTCCACGATCCATGCCGAACTTTCGTCAAGTATGCAATCGGCTAGCGCTGGCTTTGGACCAGTCAGAGACAAGAACGAGGTGGGGTCGCCCTTGAATAGTGGCACAGAGGATTACTTGGAAAGCTCTAGCTCGCTCATCCTAAATCCTTATTAATGTGTTGAACTAGGATGCGAAAGGAAAGTGGACTTACGAATGAATGGATTGAACGTTCATTGTCTCAGTGGGCTTCACTGAGAGGCCAAAGGATGCAAATAATGGATGTTGACGAGAAATATCGCAAAAACACCACCCCAGAGCGTTTTTACTGGTACACAGGTAGTGATATCGATCTATGAACTCCCGCGCGAGGCATTCGAGTTTTTTTCGCAGCGGATGCAGCCGAAATCGATTGAAGACTGGTTCGTCAACGTAAGCAAGTTACTTCGGAATGGTGAGAACTAAGAGAAAAAACGTACCGTTCGGGTTTATCACCCGAGTTTGTTTTTGCCTTTGTTAGTCTTGATTCGTGGGCCATCAGGGGCTAAAGTTAATCCTCAAAAAACGTTAATAGTGTTCTTTTTGTGTAGCAGAATGAAAGGGACGGGTTAAAGTTAAAGTTTGACATGGTAACAGCAGCTGAATCAAAATGTGTCAATTGTTTCCCACGCATACATTTCAATTTCCGGTTCACAAGTCCGACTTTATTACATCTCCTTCTCCCTCTGTTCTCTTACTATTAGATATCCCGGCCTATCTTTATTAGATCTTTATTAACTGGAAATGGTATGCTTCCCACAAAGCTTCTTTTACTTGTGAATGACAACACTGAAATAAAATTGAACAGACAGTGTGTGGTGACTGTGGTGGTACAATCATAGAATACAATGCAGCAGGCAACGGTTTCTGTGTTGGTTGCGGGACGGTCGTTGAGGAGAATGCAATTGTGCCTGGAGTTGTGTTTAGCGAGTCGTCGAGTGGTGCGGCGATTGTGCAGGGGTCGTTTGTAGGGCAGGGTGCAAGTGAGTAACAGTTGGAGTCCGTGAAGTTGAAGCTAAACTAAGTTATGTTTATGTGTTGTTATTGTTGTTGTGCTCAGCACATTCGAGGATGGGAGTTCCGTATGGGAAGAGGAACACTTCTGAATCTCGAGAGCAGACAATTGATAATGGTATGTTTAAGTTTGATTTGGTGACATGGTCCTCACAGTCACGAATTTGTTATAGCAAGCAGGAAGATCCGGAACATCGGAACCGTTATACGTCTCTCGGGGTTCGTCCAGACAGCCACAATTCGCATGTATACCCTGGCTCTTGAACATAAATATATATTTCTCCAACTCAACCTCTGGCTCCATCAACATCTGTACTAATGCCTTCAGCACCATAAACAGAGCAAGCTGCAAATAGCATAGACCCAAAAGGCAAAATAAATAGTAAGCCAACTTGCTCATTCTGTATTACAGTTGCTAATTAAAATCTATATTCAGCCAAAGCATTTGAAATCCAAAATCAACAAGCCTTGGACCTTTCTAACAGAAGTTTGCAAAATTCTTGCAATGTTAGCTAGACCACAGTATATGAGTGCAGTATAGAGCTGACATAAAGCCTGGAACTTCTTAACATTGCCTTCCTGCCTGTACCCAAGTCTAAGACTTGCAGGCAGTGAGGCTACAGTCAGAGTTGTAAGGAGAGTAAAGTAATGACTTTACAAGGTTGTACTGTCTGGGCAGGCAGGAACCATCAAATCAAGTATGAAGATGACAAAGAAGATATGCCTGAGTTAACAGAGAAGCAGAGTATAGGTAAGGAAACTGTTGCAGGGCTGCCTAACACCTGTTCTATATTATTCAACAATACAATAAGTACAACTAATGTTAAGCAGCTACATCACGAAAAAGTCGCAACACTTGTATTAGATTATAACCAGGTATATTTTATACTTTTTGTAAATTTTGTTGAAGCAATTATATTCTTCATAGGGGTTTTCACAAGTTAATTATAATTTAATGCAAGTATAATAAGAATCTAGAACAATTATTGGAATTACTGTTATTAATTATGATTGTACATATTGTCAAGATATATAAGTGATTATAACATACCTCCCAAAATAATAATGTTAAAATATACTTATTATTTTTTGACAGTATAGTATTCTCTTACAATATATACAAGTCATTACAAGCATCTGGATAGATTGCTTCTGCTTTGCATACAATTTTGTATCAAATAATTAATAAATGTAATTATATTTAATTATTTAATACAAAAAGATAGTGAATATTATATTATTTCTATGGTCCCAATCCCTGCACCACTAGCAGCCTCTGCCTCATTCTTCTGCAAGCAGAATTCATGTTGGTAAAGGATTAACGTGTCCTTGGGCCATACAAAGTAGTCTTCGTCACCATGCCCTTGGTCGTCGCTCAGTCCCTGCAGTTGAATTGCAAGGTCGAGCAGGTTTTGGAGGTTGAGGCTACGCCTGTAAACAGGCTTAGAGTGATTTAGCGAGTACCAATAGAAAGAAAAGATGGACGCACAGCGATGGCATGCAGTGAGTGTGAGTGGTGTATGCAGGTTGAGAT